TGATGCACATCTCCCACTCAACACCTTCCCAGGTACTGCCTCACGGGCTGCTCGCCTGGTCCTTGACACCCCTGGGACCACCCTCCTCTCCAGCTCAGCCTCCACCCTGCTCTGGGTGCTACCAAAAATGCCTCTCAAGTTTTAACACACCAGGTGGGATTGCATGAGCACTCAAAGCATCCTGCTGGCAGATGTCACAGCTGCCAGTGTGCCTCTCCCACCAGAGACAGGCTCCCTCTCCACACTGCCGGCCAAGCACATGCTAGGCTCTCCAGCTCCTCACCAAGCTTGACAGCTCAGCACTCGTGTTGGCCTTCTCCTTTGGGAGGCAGGCAAAAATGCCTGGAGGGCTTTCAGCTGTGGAGACCCTCTTTGGCTGGGGAACAGGCTGGAGGACACCATCACCAGGGTCTGGTGATATGGTACAAACCCCAGCCGCTCCTCTACCCTCAGTGCATAGCACCAGACAGGAACTGCAGGAAGACTTTGGTATGGGAGCACAGAGGTATTCAGTCCAAGCCCTGCTCCAAGTCAGGCTAGCCCCAAAGCCAGAGTAGGATTCTCAGGGCCACACTGAGAATCTCCCAGGCTGGAGATGCCACCACCTTTCTGGGCACTACCCCAGGGCTGGTCCCAGCCTGTTCCCAAAATACACCACCAATCTGATCAGGGGGCAGCCACCCTCCTACCCCACATCCCAGCCCAGCATGGCTTCCCTCTCTCTTCCAGGGCTGGAAAAGTTTGAGGGCTCGTACCTGCACAGCCGGGACTACAAGAGTCCACAACCCTTTTCGGGAAAGCGGGTGGTCGTAGTTGGCACCGGGAATTCAGGCATCGATATCGCAGTGGAGCTGAGCCACACAGCCAAACAGGTCTGCTGGGAGAGCCAACAGGGATAGGGTGCTTATTATTCAGACCCCGGAGAGCACCGATCATCCCCCCACCCGCTGCAGGCTCCCCTCCCTCCAGCACCCTGCCACAAGCACCACATCCTCTCTCGGTGGAGGTGTCTACTGTGGTCCCAGCAGCTGTGCTGGCATCCCTGTCCTTGGAACATGGCAATGGTCCAGCCTGGTCTCAGGACAATGCCATGCTGCCACCTCTCTTCTCCTTTCTCCCAGGTTTTTCTCAGCACCAAGCGTGGGACCTGGGTGCTACACCGGGTGGCAGACAGAGGGTACCCCTTTGACTTCAGCTACCTCAACCGCTTCGGGCACCTCTGCACGAGCCTGCTGCCTCGAAACATCACCAGTTTTTTTGTGGAGAGGAAGCTGAATGCCCGCTTTGACCACAGACTCTACGGCCTAAAGCCCCAGCACAGGTGAGTGCCCTGGCAGGTATCTGGCCCAGGTACCTGTCCCAGCAATGCCCATCCTGCTGCCCGTCTCACTGCCCAGGCCCATACAAGGTCTGTCTGTGCCTTCCAGGATCTTTGACCAGCACCCGACCGTCAACGACGACCTGCCCAACCGCATCATTTCAGGCAGGGTGCGGGTGAAGCCGAACATCCAGGAGTTCACAGAGGCGTCTGTGATCTTTGAGGACGGCACCAGGGAAGACATTGACGCCGTGGTCTTCGCCACAGGATACAGCTTCTCCTTCCCATTCCTCGAGGGGTGTGTGAAGGTGGTGCAGAACCAGGTCTCCCTCTACAAATTCATGTTCCCCCCTGACCTGGAGAAGCCAACGCTAGCTTTCATCGGCCTTATTCAGCCCCTGGGTGCCATCATGCCCATCTCTGAGCTCCAGAGTCGCTGGGCCACGCAAGTCTTCAAGGGTAAATCAGGCAGTTTGGGGGGATGCAGCCAGGTTTCCCTAGCTACACCAAGACTGAGGTGTTCAGCTGGTGGCCTCCCCTCACATGCTGTCTCCCCACACTCACCTTTTAGTCATCTTTTTGCTTCTTTATGAGGACAAAAAACAGTGTTGTATTTTGCAACAAGTCTTGCACTGATCATCTCTTGTGAGGAACGCTAACAGGTCCTGTTGCCTGCAAACCACCTTCTCCCTTTCCTTTCCTACCATTACTTTCTTTGCCCATGCCTCCCACTTTGCTCTTGAGGTGGTGGCACTTCCCCAAAGCCCCAAAGGCTTCCATGTGCAAGCAGAGGCCTGGCTGAGCCATCCAGATGGTGGTGGGAGCACAGCCCTCCCTCCAGCTACAGCCTCCTCTTCCCCAGGGCTGCAGGACCTGCCGCCACTTGCCAACATGCTGGCTGAGATCACACAGACCAAGGACCAAATGGCCAAGCGGTAAGGACCCTGCACAGCATCACCTCTGCCACCCTTACCCCCAAGCTCATGTGCCAAACCCGCCTCCCCTTCCTCCCTGCCCACAGGTACGTGAAGAGCCAGCGGCACACCATCCAGGTGGATTACATCCCCTACATGGACGAGCTCGCCTGCCAGCTGGGAGTCAAGCCCAACCTGCTCACCCTCTTCCTCACAGACCCCAGGCTG